TTTACAGATGTCACAAGTCCTCATGGGCTCTCTGTGCTGGACCAGGGGGAAAGATGGGTCTGGAATTTAGTAATACATACATAGAATATCTTGACAGTTGTTTGGCTGCAGAGTACTAGGGACTAAGTATCTATTACTTGATTTAGGAAGAAATATTAATGCGAATAGAAACATTTCAAAAATGGATTCTTACAAATTATTCATAAAAAAAATCACTTCTCAATTTTTTTTATCTGCAGTCTTTGTTTCTCTGACTACATTTTTGGCAAACTTCAGAATTTCTGTATTTTCTGTCCTTTCCAAGCTTATAAAAAAATTCAAATATTCTTTCATCTATAATTTCAGGGGAATACAAATCCCTTCCCTTCCATAAAATTATTTGTTCTTATTTCTACTTGAATGAGCTTCTATTTTAGGAAAACTTTAATGATTTCTATTTTTTCTCATGTAATATTAAACAGCTTTACCTTTAAAGCTTAAGTTTTAATATTGTGTATATATGCACATATATGTGCCATCTTATAAACCTGTTTAGATAAACTAGAAATCTAAGATATTCCTCTATATTGTTACAGGTACATGCATCTGTAGTAAATGTTAAAAAACATGCATTGAAAGGATAATATCAACTATATGATAATGTTCAGCTTCAGGGACAGTTCTCTACCCTGTCCAAATGCTTGCCGCCATCTAAGCTACCATTCTAAAATTAGTATTGTGTAAGAGGGTATTTCTTAAAACTGTAGATTCCTTGGCTTCAACTTCAGAAACTCTAATGCAGCAAGCTTGAGTTGGGTTGATGAATGTGCACTTGAAAAGGAAACTTGGCCGAGTTAGCTGCAGATGATTAAAGAAGCATTTTAAAACAAAAGTATAGAATATGTACAGCTATAGGGGGTGGGGAGAGGATGCAGCTCCAGGGAGAGGGCAGCAGCTAGAACAAGATTTGGTTTCACTCTTGGTGGGAATGCAAACTGGCACAGCTACTGTGGAAAAAGTGTGGAGGTTCCAAAAAGTTAAATTGGAACTACCCTACCATCCAGTAATTTCACTATCAGGTGTTTATCACCCCCAACCAAAAAAAAAAAAAAAAAAAAACCTCTAAAGGGATACATGTACCCTTACATTTATAGCAATATTTATAAATGTCCACTGATAGATGGATAAAGATGTGGTTTATGTACATATATACACTATGTAGTATATATGTATGCATGTGCATACCCACAGTGGAATATGATTCAGCCACAAAAAAGAATGAAATCTTGTCATTTGCAATGACATGGGTGGAGCTACACAGTATAAATGCTAAGTGAAATATATCAGAGAACAAAAAATACCATATGACTTCATTCATATGTAGAATTTAAGAAACAAAACAAATGAGTGAAGGAAAAAAGAGAGATAAGCCAAGAAAGAGACCCTTGACTGTAGAGACCAAACTAATGGTTACCAGAGGGGAGGTTGTGGGGGTTGGGGAGAGGATGATATAGGTGATGGGCATTAAGGGATGCACTTGTCGTGGTGTGCCTAGGTGATGTATGGAAGTGTTGAATTGTACACTTAAAACTAATAAACTACATTGTACACTTAAAACTAATAAAACACTGTATATTAATTATATTGGAATAAAAATAATAAAAAGATTTGGTTGTCATGGTCTGTGCCAGCAGTCCTAACCATGGATGTGGATGGGGGATAATGAAGAGTGGTGGGTCCAGGAAAGAAAGCCAAGGTGCAAGAAGCAGAAAGACGAGGGCTCTTCCAAGCAAAGAGAAGGTATGACTGGAGATGGAGGAGGAGAACAGAGGGCCTCATGGGACGGAAGCCAAGAAGGCCAAGTTTACAAGGAGGGTGTAACCAAAGGGCCAAATAGAACAAACAATGAAGTAAGGGAAGGCCAGAAAAATGCTTGTCTATTTCATCTATCTCAGGTGCTATGTTTGTTCCTGGAAGGTAGGGGATGGTATTACCAGCAGCTGACACATTGTGAACACTTAGCAAAGGCTTGGTGTACACTGAACTGACAAGGGCGACTGTCATACAGGTATTTCAAAGAGCTCAGCTACAATTCAGTTCCTTCAAGTACCCGTACTAGGATAAGCAAATGTTATATGGGTTTAACTACCCACAATGGAGAATTATTTGTAACCAGACTGATAGATAGAACAGTGATTTTCAATCATTTACTGAAATGTGAAAATGACACTTAAAAACAGTGCCTAACCTCTCTATGTATAGGAATTCTTGGACAATGGAGTTGTATTTGTAATTTAAAAAAGTAAAGCAAAGACCTTTAAAATCAAAATCAAATTTAGGTTGTGAGAATGGGTTATTTCCATGCAGATGATCTCTCATGATCATTTGTAGAAGTGTGTGCAGTCATGAGAAGAACAAACCCCATTAAAGGAGGTAAATGACTCTCCAAGAATGCACAAGTGTTGGTTGCTATGACAACTGCTGGGTTATATTAGAGAGCAAAAAAAAATCAATTAGAGACCAGTGGAAGCACTTGCACAGGCGCATAACACATTTCTACCTCACAATTTCAGGAACTTTCCTACAGTTATGCATTGCGTTAAAAGGGTTCATGTTGATGCCAGTCACAGGCTTAATTCTAAGAAAGGTCACCTTCTACATGCATTCCCATCATTCTAATGTTCCCTTCCATAACCTGCTCTTCTGAACACCCAAATAATTTATTAAAAGAGTTTATGCAGTTACCTGGCTCTTTTGTACTGGTGACGTTAAACAGTACTTGCCTTCAATCCATTTTTATTTGAACCAAACAATTTTCAGGGTTATATGGAGAGAGACAATTTATATCTGTGGAGCAGATCCCCCACCCTCAACGTGGCGTAAGCCTGACTAGTGAAGAAAATACAGGGAAAGAAGAGATGGCGTCAAGAAGCCACCGTGCCAACTGGGTTTCTTTTCTCTCTTGGTGATCTACTCTTCTCCATTCCTAACTTCTTAAGGTGCTCAGAGGATTAAGGGGGGGGATTGCCAAGTTTCTCAGAATTTTAAATAAAAATGTTGTTAAAGTGACAGAATGAGACAGCCCCTGTGAATGAAATGCTAAAGGCTCAAGAGCAACCACAGAGAGACCAGATTTCAGCTATGTGACTTTCTCATGGGCAACTCCAACATTTGGTAGAAGCGTTCTTGTGGTCATCGGGTGATAGACAGCCCTTAGTCTAATGAGGGCATTGATCTAGTGAAAAGATGTTCAAGCTCCCAGAATGGACTGTGCATTGTTCTTTTATGAGATTACCACATGATAGAGCGACCCAACTGTGACCCATTGAGAGGGTCTCCGCTTTTCCCATCTGTGCTGCCCAGTACCAGCAGGCAGATCTCACAGCACCCTTTCATAATCATGCTTTCAAATTGTAGGCTGAGGCCCATCACTAGGTCCTGAAATCGATAGTGGGTGAAACCACTATTAAAAGATAAAGGGGGAAAGAGAATAGGACAGACAAGTATCAAAGCGAATTGCATCTAGGAAGGATAAATACCCTTGGTGAAACTTCTGTTTCATTTTCTCTCTGTGCATATGCATGCTCTGGGTTGCTAGCTTGAACATACTTCTTACTGTAGGTACTGGCCAAAAAGGATGGTGAGCCAGAGTCTGCCCTGCTAAGAATACCTCAATGTTTTCTCTTGCGTAAGGAGGAAGGAGAGGGAGAGGGGGAAGGGAGGAAGAGGATCGGGAATAAGAATTCCAGTGCTTTTGCTCTATGCATTAAATTGTTCTCCAAATCCCCTCTCTGCTTTCATAATACTACACTAGGTTCCAATGTTTCTACTCTCTTCTCAATATCCTTGCTTCATAGTGCCCTTTATTCATAAAGCTTCCTCTTCTCTCTGTGGTTTTTCAAAAAACCTTTAGGGTTTTCCTTTAGGGTCCACTCTGGTCTAATCTTGGCATTTAACCCACATGAACTCTGTCCTTTCATCACTCACCACTTTCTAGCTGTTGTGCTCAATTCCACCCATTTTCTCTCCAGATGTCCCATCTGCTTCGAGCTTTGCCTACCTCCTGTCCCACTCTGCTCCCACACCTCCTGGCACCTCTCTCCCAGTCTGCCTCCTCCGCCACCCCCTCCCATTGCTTTCCTCTTGGCATCCACTTCCTAGCTAATTATCTTGTTTGTGTTGTCTTGTTGTTTCTGTTTTTTTTTTTTTTAATGTCTATCTCTAGATTTCTCACTTGACTGAAAGCAATTTGAGCCCAGGAACTGTAAATCATACATTTATGTACGCCCCATGATATCTGGCACAGCACAGGGCATATCACAGGTGCTCAGTATAAATACCTTAAACTAATAAATCAATCATGATTCCCTCCTGTGCACCAAAACTCTACCCTGCTCACTCCAGCATTTTTCTCTCAAGATACAACGTTTTGTGTTTTAAGAGGGTATTGTGACTTCTAAAACTCTCTAATATCTGTTTTTTAATCTCAGTTGGTTTTATCCACAAAAACTTGGTAAAGTAGGCATGGGTCATGATACTTATTCTTGAGAGATGAGGACATTGAGTCCAAAGACATTAACAGCAACAACAAGGCTTGTAAGTGATGTCCCCAGAACCAGGATCTATAAAGTGACCCATTCTGTGCCATTAAACTCCTCTAGTAGAAACCTGACAACAATCACACATGATAATCAGAAGCTCACTCAATGCACAATGTTTTGTGTGTGTGTGTGTATATATAGCAACTAAGAGATAGCAGGCGAGGCTCAGCCTTTGTTTCTTATAGAAATAAGAATTTCAACACCTGGTACTAGATCAACATTCTGGTTCTTTTGCTTTTGTAATTATGCTTGGATCCTGAAAGTGCCACATAAAGTGGGAGGAGATCTACTTATTACTTACCAAGGATATACTGGCTTCCAATAAAGCGTTGAAAATCTTTTCATTAAGCCCATCCTAGCAATTAGCTGTGACTGTGTTACAAATAATGACCAAGCTCTGTTTTTTTGTTTATTGCTTACCAAGCTGTTCTCCTAAATGTTGGCCTCTCTCTGTTGAGATCACCCGCTCATCTTCCATGTCACATTTGTTCCCAACCAGGATAACCTGGGCATTATCCCAAGAGTACGTTTTGATCTGAGTTGACCTAAAAGAGAAACAATAGGCAAAAACTGATCAGAGGAGAGCACAACATAAAATGGAGGAGTATGTCCCAGACATGATGATAATAGCAAAAAAATGAAGCCCAAATGCCTGACATTTAGAATTAATTAGTTCAGTGCAGTTTCTCCTCTCAGATACTCAGAAATTGCATGAGTCAAAAATCCAGGGGATAGTAGCATTGTATTAAGAATTCTTTTTTATTTGGGGATATTAATATTACTACTGTTTTTTCCTTTGTCTCTTTTACCTACACCTTATGTAGTACCTCTATCGCTGGAGTGGGCAGCCATCCTGGTTTGCTCACAACATTCCTAGTTTTTTCAGTAAAACCCCCATGTTCCTAGAAACTCCTCAGTTTTAAGAAACTGAAGATGGTTGCTCACTTTACTGCCCACCACAAAAAAGCATCGTTTTCTTTTCTTACAATAACAACTTAAAGAGCCAGGACAATTAGGGCTTAGGAGATACACGGATGATGTTAATTTTTAAAAATTAATCATAAGAACTAATATACTCACATTCTCTGTATTAAGAGAAAAATTCCAGGTTCATATCAAAATTACAATAAAACGGGCTGGTGGTTTAAGTTACTATCAGCAGGATATCTAGAATTCTAAATAAGCTTCTAGTACAGATCCTGATGCACACAGCCAGCTTCTCATTTTGAAATTGAGATAGCATTTTAATAGTTCATATTTGCAGGTATAGTCCTGAATACTTCATATAGGTTACATTAATTTAATGCTGAGGATCAGAGAAATATTGATCATCCCTATTTTATCATTGAGAAAACTGAAGCATAGAGTGGTTAAATCATCATCCCAAGAACAGTTAGCTATAGAATGGCAGATTAGAAAATGAAACCCAGGTAGTATAGTTCTCAAGCTCATGCTCTTACATGTGTATCCATCCCACTTGCTATAAGTTTGAGAAGTGAAATTCTTGTGCATTTGTTGTCATTTAGGGAAAAAAAAAGTTGAAAGGAGGCCACATTCTTTAAACCTCCCTCCATATTGGTCATTTTTAAATTTGAGAACAATCTAAAATAGGTGGGAAAGACATATCACTCAGTGAGTGGTCAAGAGTGGGATATTAAAATGTTAAAAAAAAAACAGGATGAAAGTTTAAATAAAGGGATTTGTAAAATGAGAAAAAGCTTAGAAATGTTCCTACTAGCAATTGTCAAGTCTTTCAAGATTATTAAATAGAAAATAGTGAGTCTGTTCTCAGCTTCAAGAGAGAATAAAAGAAAACAACTTTAAACTGTAGCAGGAGATCTTTCAGTGAAATGTGATCACAGTCCCTTACTTCTGAGAAGAAAGGGCAGAGCTGTGAGGCAGATAGTGTTTTATTTCAGAGCTTTCCCCTGAACCAAGTACTAGTTTTCAAATGAAATTAAAATAGCTGGAGAAATATGCTCTATGTCCCATGTGAACCGTCCAAAGGCACGGTATATTTTATCAGAAAAATCTGGAGCCACGACCTCTCTGATACTTAAGTTAATAATATATCCCTCTAGCAACGAGAGTCAGCATGTATCCATAAATTGGGAAAACAAAAGCAAACATTCAAAACTCGAATATTTCTCACCTCATTTTATGTGTGATCTATGAAAAATAATACATTCATAGTGAATTACGGTGTAAAATGCATGCTACACATGAAGACACCTTAAATCTCAACTGCTAACATGGTTTTATAAAGAAATTCCAAAGGTTCTTTCAAAGGAACTCAAATCTAATTGGATTTCCTCAGGTTATTTTTCAATTATCCCCCACTCCTATAGGCCTTGTTAAGCCCAGCCTTCCATGCCTGGAAAGACTCTAGGAAGAGAGTCCATATGTTAACAGACAAAGCTATCCTGGCACACAGCTAGAAATCAAATCATCAGAAAGAGGTGAGAGGGGAGTCACAGAAGAGTGTTGTTGTGTAAGGAAGAGGTTGAGGCTAGCATATAAAGTGTATGGCTTTCTGAGTTTACAAGGGACTAATGCTTGAAGAAATTTAGTATTCTGTGGACCTAGGCAAACTCATCCTCTGCAATCCTGTTTGTATAAACTTCACTAGGTATACCTTTGTGAAGGGTAAGGAGAAACAACTTGGCCAGTTTATTTGTGCTCTTAAGCCAAGTTGATGGAAAGCTTACTTCTATTCAACATGTATGAGCATCTCATTTCTGATCTATTTTTTTAAGATTTATTTATTTTAGGGGGGAGAGGGAGAGGGAGGCACAATTTCAAGCAGACTCCCGCTGAGCGTGGAGCCTGATGTAGGACTCACTCTAACGACCCCAGACCATGATCAGAGCCAAATCCAAGAATCAGATGCTCAATTGACTGAGCCACCCAGGTGTCCTCCATCTATGATTTAATAGCCCATGAGGTCTTAGGCTACTGTGACAAGTTACACATTTTTGCAAACAAAATATTCCCCATTCCTTCGCAATCTGTAAAAAAATATATAGTCATGATTGTATCAAAACCATTCCTCTTCCATTGTTCTTAAGAATTTTCATGTGACCTCCTCAATGTCCTAAATTGCCAAGATATGTTATTTTTTAAATAATTACTAGGGAATTATTAAAAACCCTTACTTTGAAAGCTTAAATAGCTAATGGAGACCATTTTCTTTTAATTGATTATTAAAATTAAAGTCTGGGACATTTCTGCTGAGGTGTACAGAAGATTAATTTGCCATCAAAGTTGGTTAATCTCATTTTTTGAATCACAGGTGTAAATGCCCCAATGTTTGGCTTTGGTTTGACTACTGTGGACTTGTCAATGATGTCCACCACCCACAGAGTAGCTTTAGGCAAAGTGCAATCATCAGCTAGAGGGGATCAGAATCATGCTGGTTGATTTATGAATTACTACTACATGTCAAAGAATCTAAGATACTATGAATTATGAGATGCAAATTATTTTACAAATGATTTGGTTAATTTGGCAATTAACCAAATGACCAAGGACAAAAATAAGCAGCTATGAAACTATGACACAATGCTTTCACCATAGTCCTATTAGCCACACTTATCCATCATGTCAGCTTCTTATTGCTTCAAAATTTCTTTCATGTATTCTGAGGGACTTAGCAATTTTTCCTATATGAAAATAGTATATGATCAGCATTCTATGACTCTCTCAGTAATAAAAGTTAACATACCCAGCTGCTTGTGGGTATCCTTCCTAAATCCTGAAGATTGTTGCTTTGCAAGAAAATATGAAATAATGGTTATTATTCCAACCCAGGCATTCACATTACATTTATAACCCTTTCTGCTACTCAAATAACCCAGAGTTGTGCTTATTTCATCTAGACATAATATGAATTAAGGTCAGAAGACACTGGTGTTGGTAATCTTCTCTTGTCTTCCAACTCAGAATCCTAGCAGTTTATTCTACCAGTTGAAAAGATAGCTGTAATACTAAGTAGGTTTGGGGAAGTCATTCTGCGTTCTTTAGGCTCCATTATCTTCATCTGTAAAATAAGGCTACCACATTTTGTACAGACTCTCTAGGGCTGTTGTAGGACAAAGGCAGCTTTAGGTGGGGTAGGGTCATTCTCTATGTTCAACGTTGTAAACAACTCCTGACAGATGTAATACATTATTAGTCCCAGCTTAGGCAACCACCTGTTCCTCTTCCCAAAGCCAGCTCCACTCATCTTTTCAAATTCTTATATTTTAAATAATTGGAAGGTTTTTCATTAAAAAGTATCACATTTTGTCTCCAGTTCATATCTTGAGGTTGAAGTCCTACATAGGCAAATTTCTAACTGGAATAGAATGGCCTTCTTCTGGTATAGGAGAATAGAATATGTATTGGTTAAATAAATCCTCCTTAATGGGGCATTTCTACATATGTACCTTTTTTGGTCATTTGTTGTATTTTGTAATTTATTTTTTATTTGGGTGATGGGTTTTTAATCACCTCATTAAGGGCTGTATTATTTCTTTGTTGGTTAGAGACACATTTAAAGAAAGCGGCTGTCACCAAATAATATACATGTGAAAAGATTATTCCTGAATCACTGCAAAAGATCCTTTGGGATTTACGGTTAATCTCAACAAAATTAATGGAATCAGAAGCAGTATGTTGGTCACCATGGTTACTCTACAAACGGCAATTAACTCAGACCTCACCAGTATCAGATCATAGTTATTAAAAAATCTGTTATTAGCTAAAACCAAACCATTAGCTAAAACCAAAAAGCACAACCAGCATATATTTATATTTTATGTTTTTATATTTTTATTTATCTTCTCCATAAATATATATAGAGAAGGTTTTTGTTTTATATTCTGAGGCAGAAGATGAAGAGTTCTTCATGTTTTATGTGTATATGACAACTCTTCACAGAACCATTTGATCGGAGAGTTATAAACAGACTAATCAAATTCCTACATCATTACTTCTTCCCTGTTTTGGGCATATAAGTAATTTCCTAGGCATTCAACCTGCTTTCGTAGAGATTGGACTTAGCTAATCACAATGTTTGGGAAAACAGTCTATAAAATATGTATCAGTGACCCCCAAAAAGCAGTTGTCTCCTAGGGTCTGATTTGGGCTATCTGTGCTCTTCCTCACCTAGTGAAGCTTGAATCTAGCTTAACAGCAGTCCCATTCTTAATTCTGGAAGCTCATACATCTCCACAGTTACCCATCCATTCCCCTTATTCTCTTCGAAGTTCAGGAGTCACATAGCTCTAGAGCTTCTCAGCCAACTTCCAACTTGTAAGGAAATTTCCCAGCTTGCTACTGTTCATCACATAGGGATGCCTTTCTGTTACTTTCTCACTAATTTAATCATTTATTTATTCAATTTTTCTCAACCCTTGGAGAGTTTTTAAAATTACTCCAATGCAGAACAATTAAATCATAATCTCTAGGGACTTCATCATAGTAATAAAATCTCTCCAGGTGATTTTTTTTAAAGATTTTATTTATTTATTCATAGAAACACAGAGAGAGAATGAGAGGCAGA